AGTGCTTTTTGTGGATATCGATTCAACTCAGTGGCACTGCTTTCACTTACCCACTGGGTAGGCTTACCGACTGGATAACGTTTATGAATACGGCCACTGAACACTAAAAAGTTTACCAAAGGACCCCTTTGCTGTTCCTTACCTAAAAGTATTGCGTGGTAGAGCAACCATTTCGCGAGACACATTACTGCAATTGAGCTTCTTTGAAAAAAATCAAAAATGTGGGTTTTGTACGCGAAGTTAGGGTAGAAAAGAAGAGAAGGATTTATTTGAAGGTGTCTCTTTTTTCAGCAAAGACGTGAAACCGACTCCCATTATCGGATCACATGCCTTTACCGTGCAAGCGAAATCCACCCTCAGCCGAATGCAGCATGCTCAACTTCCTCTTCCTGGAAGGTCATCACCACCTGGCGTCGTCAATGGACTTCCTATGCCAGCCCCTCAAGTTCCTAGCGTTGCTCCAACGGCTCTTCCAATGCCTCCTACCTTCCATGGTCCCACGACTGTCTCCGGTCCTGGAGGCCTACCTATGCCTCCCAATTATCATCCTCCTGTTGCTCCATCAACATCGTCTCTTCCAAGTTACGCTGCGCCGGGTGTAGCACCGGTTGTGCCATCCGTGGCAGCACCTGTTGTTGGTCCAACAGGTCTTCCAATGCCTCCGAATTATATCCCGCCTGCTACTTCTGCTGCACCTTTGCCAATGCCTCCGGCAGTTCGAGGGCCAAATGGCTATCCTATGCCACCGGGATATCGTCCACCAGCGGCGCCAGCACCAGCTCCGGTAGCTGCCGTTCCGGTTCCAAGCGTACCGGCTGTACCCGTACCTATTTCTACCGTAACTCCTGCAGTTCCTCAGGCACCTTCCGGATCAAATGCGGTAAGTCCTTCATTCTTTTTATTCAAGAGATAGTCAATACGCTCTTTTACAGATTATAACGACGGAGGTGCCTACGAAATTAGACATTCCATCGAATAATCGCATATTCGTAGATGGTAAAGCTCATGAAGTAGAATATGTAAATGACGTAGCTGTAATAGAACGAAATGGCTTGCCTCACAAGTAAGTGTTTTTTATTGAGGGGAATCATCCTGTAATCTATATTTACAATTTCCAGGATTTACTTTGCGGGTACTCCACGTAATGTTATAATTGACGGTGTTCCTCATCTGCTTCATTTTGGAGAGAGCAAAGGTGTCATAATAGATGGACAAGAACACATTCTTCGTTTCGGTGCTCCAAGCCGTGAACTTTATCTCAACAACTTTGCTTTCAAAGGACAATTTGGAGGTGTGTCTTACTCGGATAATCGTTCAGATATTTCAGTGATAACTTTAATTTCGCCGCTGAGTTTGAATGTATCTCAACTAAATATGTTTTAGGTGCTCCCATGGTCGCCACGATCAATGGTCGACGACATGAGATACGTTTAGCAGGTCCTGCACCCGATGTCAAGATCAACCCTGATCCAGCTTATGAGCTGACAGCTGAGTTGAATCGAATACGAGCAAACAAAACTGAAAATAAGAGAGGTGGGTGCAGTTAACTATCGAAGGATTGTTTTTGCCATACCATGGTTGTCAGAAAGGCACAATTTTTTCTTGTTTGTTTGGGGTGACGAGGAAAGCATAGCATAACAGGATTTCCAAAGTGCATTTTATACTGTGGCCGTTTCAGAACCTTCACCCGATCCTTTCACTCTTCTCAAGAAGCTGCAGCAAAGTGGATTCTTGAAAAAGCCTGAACCTGCTCCTGCACCTCAACCTAGTCCCTCAACAAGAGACCGTGTCCGACATTCGACATTATTGAGAGACAATGCCCCTCCTATTCCTAGCGAGCACAGGTTAGCATTCCTAAGTTCAATTATCTAGACTTATTGCCTAGATTTTAAACAATCTTTTTATGATATGTTTTTATTGCCTTACCCATTTCAGCTTGAGTATAGTGGAACGAAGATCCGTCCCCGCTGCACCTCTAAAGGAGTTCAATATGAGGATCCTCAAGATGTAAGTGCAACAAACTTTGTATATTATTACTTCATATAATCTTGTTACTTTTCAAGTCGATATGATTCGGTGGTCGACGCTCTCCATGAGAAACAACAGAATGCTTGTCCACATTGTGGTCAACGTATGGAACTTCGTGGCGAGCGATATGAGCGACATTTGGATTGGCATGTGAAGAGGAATCTGAAAACCTTCGAGAACACGTGCAGTAGTCGGCCGTGGTATGCTAGTAGCAAGGTAATACTGTTATACCTTTTTACACCTACTGTTGTACCAAAGACTTACTTTTAAGGATTGGCTGAAAAGTGAAGAAGAGGAAGAAACGGGAGTAAGCGCGACGAGCGGAGCCACAGGTTTGTTTGTTTTTGCTCAAATCCTGAGAATGAATAAAATGCTCCCTTCAGAAACGGTGGAAGAGTCCCTCCCCGTAACTTCGGTATCCGCGCGTGAAGCTATCAATAAGGTATGCGTATTTATCACTTATCTCATTACCAAAAATAGCTACTTACATTTGCAGAGCTGTGCCGTTTGCTGTGAAGATTTTGAAGAGTATTGTGACGAGGATGATGATGGTGTGTGGAAACTCAAAGATTGTGTCATTGTCAATAATCAGGTGAGTCGTGAGAAAAGCGCCTTTTTAGGCACTGTAAGAGCTTTCCATTGCTATTTTCTTTTTCAGGCTTATCATGTAGCCTGTGTTCAAGATGCATCAGTACTTGAAGAAGCGCCGTCGCAAGACTTGTCAGAATCATGTGATACAAAAAGTTTTGTAGAAGATACCAAGCTGTTAAATATGTTGGAAACAAGTTGAAGCAGCTAAAAATTAGAGGGAAAACACAAAAAGATTATATTTGTACATTGGTTGTGAATATACAGTCTACATGGGTCATCGAAAGCAGGCTCCCTGCAGTCTCGCCTTGCTTCGAAGTATTCGCCTGGATTATAAGTTGAAAAAAGAAAAAATAATAAATATTTTGATTGTATGCGTTCGTGTTTCAGTTTTTGCTTTACATTTGTTTTTGTGTTTGGTTTGAAAATAAATATATGTGAAAAATTGTTTTGTTACACTCATGGTATCCTACCAACTACAGCAGTATTGCAGAAAGAACATTACATGAGATCAAGGCTTGGTGACAGTGGTTCCATTTACAATATCTTAGATGAAATTACTTCCTCAATCAGAGTATGTGATTAGGATATACACTGCAGCAGTGCGGA